TCACTTATGAAAAAAATAATGAAATTTAAAATTTAATTGTATATAGAATGATAGAGATTTGTAAAATAATTAGGGATTGGAGAGAGAGAAAAAAGGTCAAAATTGAGGATTCAAAGTCACTTATGAAAAAATAATGAAATTTAAAATTTAATTGTATATAGAATGATAGAGATTCGTAAAATAATTAGGGATTGAAGAGAAAAAAAAAAAGAGGGGAGATGTCAAAGAGAGGAGAGAGAATATAGAGAAGGGCAAAATGGTCCAAAGGAAAGTGATTGTCACATCATGGGCAATTCTCTAATTATAGGTGCCAAATATGGCACTTTAGCCAATTATCTCTACAATAATTTAAGATCTTTTCACCATTATACTCGCCTCTGTATTTTACATGAAATTTTAGGTTTGTGAATATAAATTATAAAGAATTATATTTTCTCAGTTTCATAAAAAATGTCATTTAGACATTTTTCACATAAATTAAGAAAGTTTTTTGAATGTGTTATATTCTTATTAATTAATCTATTATTATAAACTAGGTTTTTCCTTCATTCTAGGGTCATGTCACTAATTCAATTCATCACATTGGGACACATGTCACTAAGATTACATAATATTTTTTATTAACTTAATTCTGCGATTTATATGAGCTTCCTTGTGTGTTGTTAGGCCTCAATAATATCTTCAAAAACCCAAGCTATTATCGTTAAAAATAAGATCCTTCATCCGTACCGTTTTGAAATCTAAGGTTCATCGCAATCTTTGATCTTCGGCATTAGAAAGACTCAGATGCAGAGGTCGGCGTGACAATTCTGTTTGTTGGGGTTTCGATCACGTCCTTTCGTCTTCTTTACCTTTATTGAAACGGGACCGTTTCCAGATCTATCACATTAATTTAATGATAAGTTCTTACCAGTGTTTTTAAACCCGACCCGAACACTGAACCGGACAACTTACCGGGTCACCGGGTTATTGGGTCGACCGTGGGCAAACCGCGAGTTGATAAATTAATTAATTTTAATATATATAATAATAATAATATATTAGCTATTAAAAATATAAGAAAATTATATATATATATATATATATATATCATAAAATAAATATATAAAAGCACTTCAATTTTGTTGTGTTTATTTTTAATTCATTTTCAATACACAATATTAAAATAATATAATAAAAAGATGGTGTTTCATCCGATTTATACCACCTCCTAATTTTTTTTTGTGACAAAATCCACATTCTAAAACCAGTTTTCCTCTTGAATCTTTTGACTGAATCACATAGGACCATGCAACATCTTTTTTTTTTTCACGAACTGAACGGTTTGCAGCAGCTATTTCATCATAGTTTTCCTCTGGTTCAGTTTCCATTGTCTGTAAAAGTGATAAACGAAGTTATAAAAATTTCATGTGGCATAATTAATTAACGCATAACAATGTATTTCACAAAAAGATAGGACGTGCTTCAAGTTTATTGATCCACTACAAGCTACAAAGGTTGTGATTGTGAGTGAGATTAACAATAAACAAATTAATCAAAAACAAAAAGAATGTTGAAGAAATTACAGAGTCGGCAGAGTCGCAGTAGGGGAACCGTAAGCTAGGATAAAACTAACCTAAAAGTGATAACCTAACCTTTTATTAGGAATAAAAAAGCAGATTATATTAAAGAAATTTAAGATTTGAAGAAAAAATAAATAAAAAATTATTTGTTGGTTCAACCGGTTGCCGGGTTACCGGCAATGTTTTTAAACTCGACCCGGATACTGAACCGGACGACTTACCGGATCATTGGGTCACTGGGTCGACCGTGGTTCACCCACGGGTTAATAAATGAAACTTTATTATATAATAATATATTAGCTATGAAAATAAAAATATAGAAGTTAAATTTTCTAAATTTTTTTATAACATAAAATATATAAATATACAAAAAATCAAAAACTAGTTTAGATAATTTAATTTTTTTATAACAAGTTAAGAGTAATGACATCTACAAAAATCAAGATATAAAATTCATAAATATTTAAATGTCTAATGAGAATAATAAATTAAACTTCAAATCCAAAATAAACCAAAAGTAAAACATCATTGTAATAAATTAACAATAACAAAAATAAACTAACACCAAATCACATCAACTAATTTTGGTTCTCGCTACCACCCTTCAGTTCATTTTTTCCAGGTGGTATAGTGAAATCTTCATCAAAATTTAAAAATCCCAAATAAAATAGTGTAATAGATATTATGTATGATAAAAAGTCGGAAAGTTTAATCTAAATTTAAAGAAGAAGACGTCAATGCCAATAACTAAAACGTGAAAACCTAACTTTTAAATTAGAAATTTAGAATATAAAACATAATTAAAACATAATTTAAAACTAAAAAAAAAGTAAAATTTTATTTATTGGTTCAACCAGTGGTTCAACCGGCATCGGGTTTTGGGTTTTAGCGGGTTTTTTCGGGTTTTTGCGGGTTTTTAAATTTTGGGTTTTTAACAAAACCCAAACCGAATTTATTTTGGGTCACCGGGTTTACCGGTTCAACCGCGGGTCCGGGTCGGGTTTCAAAACACTGGTTACCGGGTTTACGGATTTTTAGCGGATTTTATCGGAGTTTTAAATAGCGGATATTTGGTAAAATCCAAGCCGGATTACTTGCCGGGTCACTGGGTTTAGCGGTCGGACCGCAGGTCCGGGTCGGGCGTGAAAACACTGATTCTTACTCATGAAAAATATATATACATATAAGTTATTAATTTAATAGGCCCATATATATATTTACATAGATTTTTTTAAAGTTGTTATCTTATTATTTTATCGATTTATGTCAAATTTTATACCAGTCCAAGTTGAAACCAGCGAAATTTATTAATTTATCGAGTATAATTTATAGAGGTTCTACTGTATATAATTTTAAGTTTAGATACTTGTGGGTATAATCTTTCTATGAATACTTATCATTGTATATTTATTAATTCAAAAACCAACATGATAGGATAAATTGTTATTATCTTACAACTATAATTCAGCCAAATTTACTATCTTACATACATATGCTGTATTTCTACATAAATCCGATCGTGGAGAAGGAAGGGAACCAATTGTCTGACCAGAACCTGCAAGTGAGACCATTGGGTCTAATTACGTCTTTGTTATATTGAAAGGTTGTGGTGAGGATTAGACCTACAAAAGAGTATTTGGTAGACTGTGAAGAAAGTTTCCAAAGATTCATATTCTGTTAGGGACAGAGGCAACTAAGAGTTGAGATTAAACAAGAGAAATTATCTACTGAAGAGTTAGAGGATCACTTCAGCTATTCTTGGTCATGCCAGGTTTGTTGAACACTACACAAAGTTACAAGAGAATTAGAAAGACTTAGACTCAAGGCATAGAGAAACAGAGGCTGGGAAAAAGGGGGTGTTGTGGTTTCCCGTTTGGCTAATTCACTTTCTACTGAGCTCTCGGCACTTGGAGACTTGGAGTAGAAAGAGAGAAAGACTTGTTGAAGAATGAGAATGTAAGTCTCAAGGTTCAACTAAGGAAACTGCTGGAGAAGTTCTTGTTAGACTCAGAGAAGCCGATCGAGCGGATGCAAATGAACATCAGCTTGCTGAGGTAAACAAATAAGATGTTCATATTTGAATCGATGAACCTTTGGTGTATTAATGACATTCTTTTCTGAGTTTTGGGCTCCCACTGGCAAATCCTACGCAAATTAAATAAACAATTCCATTGTGGAAGTAATAATATACGGACACAGAAATAAGGAAACTAAATCATAACGACGAGAGGTCGTATATTTTTTACTTTCATCATGAAATGGTATAAGTTTAAGATGTGCATTTTAGGGTAAACAAGAAAGCTGCTCTAGGAACCACCCAAAACGATGGCGGCTCCTCCTCCACTAGTACGAAATCCCCTCTGTTTCTTTTTTTTCTTGTTTCCCAAGGCATTATCTATAATTTTCTTGATCATTTTCTAATAGTTCATGTGTGATTCTACGAATAGGTATGCGTTTTGCTTGTGGAAACTGAACTCAAAGGCTGGCAAAAGATTTTGAATAAACTATTTTTGGGGACTGAAGGTAAAGAAGCTTTGAGTCTTAATCAATCTTCTTGTTAATTGATTTCTCAAGAGTTAGACAAGTCTAACCATAACTGTGCCGTTAAAATTCTAGGTTTAGGGTTCTCCATTGATGCACCACAGTGGTGGAAATATGGTGAAGTTATTAATCCTATGATGTTCACTAAGAAGTTGATGTATTTACATGGCGACGTTGATCCTGTGGGATTCATTAAAATGTTATTCAAAGCGAGATTTTACGCTATGCCCTACCGGATTGATTATGGATATAAAGGGAATCCAGAAGGCACCCAGGAACCTAATAATAACAACTTTATGGTTATATATATACATCTCACTATTTCATTACTTTCAACACTTTTCAATTGTTATAGTTTTTTTTTTTTTTAAATTGGTTTTTGCAGAGTTTCAATTTCGAGATAGACATCTTAGAAGTAAGTTGGTATAAGAAAATCATAGGAGTTTTAAAGACCATCCAAGGTTTGGAAATTTTCTCTAATTTATTTATATGAAAGGTTTTGTTTGGTTTGGTTTGGTTTGTTAATTTATTTATTTTTGGGTTTGATGTCAGGTGTATCATTTACAATAGATGCACCTAGTCAGATGGTGTATATGCATGGGAACATTGATAAAGGTTTGCTCATGAAGATGTTAACGAAGACGGGTATTCAAATATTAGGAATGGACTATAATTTGAAGCCACCACCCAAGAAAGCTGAGGCTGCATCAGATGGAACCGAGAAACAACCCACGAAAGACAAAGAGTCTACTCCTCCTTCTGAGCTTGTTGTTAGTACATCAACGAAACAACAAGCCAAAAATAAGAAACCTCGCGGTTTTAGAATTTTTTGCTGTCCATGAATGTGTGTTTACACCTGAAGGGACGGGCACTTGAGAAAGACAGAGCAGAGCAGCTAACTTCAGGTTCTGCAAGAAGCCTTGTATCCAAGTTTGTTATGTGGTTGGTAGCCACTAGCAACTAGCAGTTAAAACTATTAATTACGTATGTTGGATCCTTTTCAATATCAATTAGAATGCATCTGGGTAAACGTTTGACACTATACTCCGGCGTCTTAACGAAGTTACTAGATTTTGACCCGCCCTTTCCAAGGGCGGGTATATTTTTTGTTTTTGTTTTATTTGAAATCAAATAATTTTTTTGAAACAAATTTTTATATAATATAGTGCATAGGCATGAGTATAATTATGGGCTTATTTTCCAAATAACAAAAAAAATAAGGGAAATTAAATTTTGGGAGAAAGGGTAGAAAGAAATATGAACAGATTATAGGAGAGTGAGGGGTTTTAGTTCGTTAGTGAATTTGTTTTGTGTGTATATATTTCCCAATTTCCCTATATTTATCCAAAACCATACACTAACTCGTACCAAACTGAAAGAAAAAAACAAAATGGAACAAATCATATCATATATCTTTGAAACCGAAAAACTAAAACCAAACTGAGAACCAAATGAGTACTTGAATTTTTAAAACACAAATTATATACCTACAAATATTAATTATATTTGATTTATATATTACAAAATATCTTAAAATACTATTTATATACTAAATTATCTAAAACCCTGAATTACTCGAATATATTTTTCAAAATATTAAAAATTATCCAAACTATCCCATATTGTACCCGAACACGCGAATTTCCTGATGATTAAACTGAAAACCACGAATTGTATGATATTGTGATCTAGAAATATGAAATTACTCGAAAAATCAGGATCAAA